GAAGCATCTGCGTGACCTGCGAGAACCACTCGACGTCGCCCTCCAAGCACAAGCCCCATGCCCGACGTACTGCAAACGTAACGCAACACCCTCTTCGCTGCAGCCATGTGCTCTGGTCGGTGTCTCCCAGGAGCAACATAGCATGCCAAGATGCTAAGAGGGTATGCAAGGTCAGATCGTGTGCCGGTCATCAGGTACATGAGGCAGCCAACAAGCTCCGGGTACGGGCCACTCGGCTCTACGGACTCATCCGAAGGTTGAGCTGAGAGCGAGTGGCGAGTAGACAGAGGAGTGGCCTGAGGCGAGGAGTACGTGAAGCCGAAGCGCTGAAGGACCTGCTGCACCATGTGTGACTAAGTCAGGGTAATGGTGTGCTGTGCTCTGTCCCGGGTGATCTGCAAGCCAAGGTAGCTGCGCAGTTCACCCAGGTCTGTGCACGTGTGTCTCTTCTGCAGCTTGGACTTCACGTGGGCGAGTCAAGCATTGTCAGCAGTGGCAAAGACCAAGTCGTCGACGTACACGAGGATGTAGAACGGCGGCAAAGAGGTGTCGGTGCGCAGAAACAGCGACGGGTCAGCTGTAGAAGGAGCAAACCCAAGAGCCGCAAGTGTAGTCCTCAGTGTGTCGTGCCACTCGCGGGGCGCCTGGCGGAGACCGCAGACTGGCCGTCGGAGGCTCCACTGGGTACCAGGAGGAAACGACCCAGTGAAGCCAGGTGGGCGGCGCAGCCAGATCTCCTCGTGCAGGCTGCCCTGCAGGAAAGCCATGCTGAAGTCAAGAGAGTGAGGCTCGTAGTCGCGCTGAGCAGCTATGTGCAGCAGCACCCGAAGAGTGGTCATCTTTGTGGTGGGAGAGAAGGTCTGAAAGTAGTCAACTCCCTGCCGCTGTCTGAAGCCTCGAGCCACGTAACGCGCCTTGAAGACAGGCGGAGAACTCGGCGGTCGCTTCATTCTGAAGATCCACATGCCATTGACGATGTTCGCCCCACGTGGGGGAACCTCGTCAACGTAGGTGCCTGTGGACTTCCAGGAAGCCATCTCTGCGTCCATGGCCGACTGCCACTGAAAGGAGTAGGGACCCTCAATCGCCCCAGCGTACGATCGAGGATTCGGGATGTCTGGTGCATCCGGGTCTCCCTCAGGGGCAATTAGCGTGGACACGAGATGAGGCAAAGCAGCAGCAAAACACTGGAACTCCTCCTGCCTGTCCTCAAGGACGCCCGTGCTAAGACCACACTCACCCTCGACGGACGGAGGACAGACAAACTCAGACTCAGCAACTAGACTAACAGTGTAGTCTAGACGATAGCGAGCAACGAAGTCGACAAGCTCAGCAACTAGGGCAGACGCAGCAGTGGACTCAAAGGAAGGGTCAGTGACAGCATTAGCCAGGAGACGCGTGACAGTAGGACTGGCAGCACGAAGAGAGTCAGACTCCGGGTCAGCAAGAACAGGAAGAGAGGACTCTGGAGGAGATGGCAATGGGACACGCAGAGGAGCAGTGGAAGGACGCAGTGCCATCCGGTGTGTGCCTGGGTCCGCAGGAGGACGCAGACGCGCAGTACGACCACTAGTGCGAGCAGCATGAACAGGCGACGCAGGACGAGACGCAGGCTCACGACGCTCAGCAAGACCTCCTGTAGGACCAGTGTAGGGAGAAGGAGCAGGTAGAGGGGAGGCGGGCTGTAACCGTGACTGTGACTGGACAGGCTGTGGACACTCTAAAGGAGGAGCAGTACCAGTAGAGGGCGGGAGACCAAGAACCTGCTCCAAGAGCGGAACGAAGTACACCCTCGGCCGCGCAGCGCATCCAGAGCCAGCAAGGACAGCACCAGCACCCCGAGCGGCAGCACCAGCGCCAGCAGCACCTCCAGCTCCAACAGCGCCAACTCCAGCACCCACAGAAGCACTAGCGCCAGCAGCACCGCCAGCGCCAACACCTCCAGCAGCTCCAGCTCCAGCAGCTCCAGCTCCAGCAGCACCAGCTCCAGTAGGACCGTCAGCTCCAGCAGCCTCAGCAGCACCCCCAGACGCACCAGCGCCAGTAGAAACACCAGCGCCAACACCCCCAGTAGCTCCATCTCCAGCAGCACCAGCACCGCCAGCAGCTCCAGCAGGACCAACTCAAGTAGCCCCAGCAGCACCCCCAGTCCTAGCAGCTCCAGGACCGCCAGTACGAGCACCTCCGGGACCAGCAGCAGCAGTAGCCTCTCCAGCTCCAGCAGCATGTTAGCGGCGGGCAAACCACTCGCGCAGCTCCTGTGGAGAGAGTGGCTCCCACCTCGACGAGGCACCGCCGGCGGCCACACGAGCAGACCCAGCGCCCCCAGGCTCCGCACCCCCACGCTCTGCACCCCCAGACCCAGCACCCCCAGGCTCAGCACCCCCAGACTCAGCACCCCCAGACCCGGCACCCGCAGGCTCAGCACCTCTAGCAGCACCAGAGTCAACAGCTACCTTGACAGGCTCGACTGCGTCTACCTTGGACAAACCTGACGGGGCAGGACCCTGAGGGAGGAGGGGGTCTACCGGGGGAGGACCTGGCGTAAGAAAGAGCGGCAGCAGGGGGAGGGGCGCAGTGCGATAGGGGAAGAGACGGTAGTAAGGCACCGACTCGTCAAAGGTGACGTCCTGGGAGGACAGAACACGACGCGAGGTGGGGTGGTAAAATTGCCACCCAGGCGCGTCAAGGGGGAAGCCAAGGAAGACGCAGGGAACAGCACGGGGGGACAGCTTGTCCGCAGACAAGTCGCGGACAAACGCCCGAGATCCCCAGACCCGAAACGCAGATGCATCGCCAACCTTCCCCGTCCACCGCAAGGCGGGGGAGGTCTCTAGCAAGGAGACCCGGGGCTAAAGGTTGAGCTGATGCGCGGCAAACTGAACCGCAAACGGCCACAGAAAATGGGGGGCAGCCGCATGCATCATGGACGTACGAGCGACGTCCATGACCATGCCAATGCGGCGCTCAGCAATCCCATTTTGCTGTGGAGAGGCTGGAAGCGTGAAGGTCTGGCGGATGCCCTGTGCACGACAGAAGGCTCCCAGACGGGCAGAGGAAAACTCCCCGCCTCTGTCTGAGTGCAGACGCAGAACAGGAAAGTCCGAGCCGAAACTCTCCCTGAGCTAGAGACGAGCTGCGCGGATCCAGTCGATCAACACCTCAGTGACGTCACCCTTGCTGCGGAAGGGGAAGACTGAGGTGTAACGTGAGTAGTCGTCAACCACCAGCACGAAGTACCGCTCGCGCCCCTGCCCACTGACGCGGGCGCGGCCCCACACGTCCATGTGGAGAGTCTGCAGCGGAGCCTCTGTCGGAGGAAACTTGGAGGAGTGAAGGGCGGCGCGCTGTTGCCCCTCGACGCAAGGGACGCAGGTAGGGCCAGGCCCCGGAGGAAGGGGAGGGAGAGACCGAGGGAGACCAAAGACAAGGACCCGGGAGGCCATGCGTCGGAGACGAGGCAGAGAGGGGTGACCAAGGCGGTGGTGCCAAAGGAGAGTCTGCTGGGACAGTAGACGACACGAGGAGTGTCAGAATGTTATTGTTCTCTAGCCTGCAGTGGGGTACTCTATAGCGAGTACAACCCCTTAGGGTTCCCTATATGTATCCTGCTGCTTTCTAGTGAACCCCCTCTTTTGCCTAAACTTTCTTGCCTAGCTAGGGTTCTCCTAGCTATGGCGCCCTCATTCCTTGCCTCTATCTCAACATGCTATCAGAGCGGTTCCGCTCTTGGCCTGTGGGCCCCACTACTACTTCCGCTGCGCTACTGCTGTCACGCGCCCCTGGCGCGTGGCCCTTACTTCCTGCCGTGCGCCCCGGGCGCGCGGCGTTTTTCATCCCGCCGAGCGCTCGGGGCGTGTGGCCGTTTTCTGCCCGCCCCGAGGCGCGCGGCGGGTTCCTACCCCGTCGACGGTCGCGTCGCCCCCCGGGAGCCCGTCGCGCCGCCCTGGGGAGCCGCGCGCAACCCCCCTGCGGCCCCGATTTCCCGTCGCGCCGCCCTGGGGAGCCGCGCGCGACCGCCGCCCCTTCTTCGCGGCGCCCTAGGGAGCACGCGCGGCCCCCGCCCTGCTCGTCGCGCCGCCCTGGGGTACCGCGGGCGCCCGTCGCCCGTCCGTCGTGGCGCCCCTGCGGCCCCAACCCCCCCCCTTTTTCCCGTCGCCCTGAGGGGTGATCTGGGGGAGGGGGCGAGCGCCGCCCCTTCTGACGCCCCCCCCCCCCCCCCCCTCCCCCCCCGTCACCTCCCTACCCGCCATCCCGCCCTGCCCTGTTTTAGGGTTTGGGGGTGGCGAGTCGGGGGTGGCGGGTGTGTAGTCTCCCCTGCTCCTCCTCCTCCTCTGTCTCCCCCTGCTGCAGCTGCCGCTGAGGGGGGTGGGTGTGTGGGAGCCGACGGAGTCGTGCTAGGGGGTGAAGGGGGAGTGGAGCTAGGGTGAAGCAGTGGGTCTGTGGGGGGTGTGTGGGACTGTTTGCGGGAGGTTGAGCGGAGGCTGCCGTCTTGTCGTCCGCAGCACCTGTAGTCCGGGGCGCTGTCCCGGTAGCCCAGTGAGCTCGTCGCTGCGCCAGTCGCCTGTGGGTCCGTCGCTCCTGCCGCTCGTCTTAGCCGCGGAGCCAGTTACTCCTGTAGTCCGGGGCGCTGTCCCGGTAGCCACTGTGCTCGCCACTCCTGGTGCCCATGTGTCTGCAGCTTCAGCCGCCGCCTCCTATCTCCTCTCCTCTCACTGTCCCTCCTCCTCCTCAATTGCCCGCTGTGTTAGCCTCTAGCTTTGCTTATATCTCTGAACTACTTCTATGCTTGCTTGCTGTGCTGATTACACCCCACTTTGGCTAGGGGGGTGTGTCAGAATGTTATTGTTCTCTAGCCTGCAGTGGGGTACTCTATAGCGAGTACAACCCCTTAGGGTTCCCTATATGTATCCTGCTGCTTTCTAGTGAACCCCCTCTTTTGCCTAAACTTTCTTGCCTAGCTAGGGTTCTCCTAGCTATGGCGCCCTCATTCCTTGCCTCTATCTCAACAAGGAGGGAGCAGACTCAGGACCAAACCTGGACGCTGCAGCAAACACCTGACTCGACGCAGCTACCTGGCCAGACTCAGCAGCCGGAGGAGACTCAGTGGTAAGGGTGTAGAGGCTCCACCCTGGCGGACGGGTGAACGTGGCCAAGTATCGGCCTGTCCAAACACACGTGCAAAGGGTCACCCGCTGACTCACAGGAGTGAACTGGTCAACACCCCTATCCTGTAGGTCCGCTCCACTCACCAAGTTCGTAGAGAACGAGGGGAGGTAGAGACCTGACAGGGTGCCAGAGGGGGTTGCCGGGCACGGTAAGACAGTGGAGAAGCTAGCAAGGACAGGACCCCCAGAGGGGTCCGCCAGGGAGACTGCAAGCGGCCGATTGAGCCGCGTAAGAGTGGTGCGGTCTCGAAAGAAGGAGCGGGACGCACCCGAGTCAAGGGTGAAGGTGTGTAAGGCCTGAGCCGACGTAGTACCTGAGAGAGCAGACTCACCAACACCTGGGGCAGCAGACGCACTAGCACCTGGGGCAGCAGACGCACTAGCACCTGGGGCAGCAGACGCACTAGCACCTAGAGCAGCAGCCTCAATGCCCGGGTCAGGCGGCACACACAGGTAACAGTCACCCGCAACACTATCATCAACAGCATACATGGCAGCGAGAATAGCATCAAAATCAAGATCAAAGATAGCAAGCCCCGCCCTAGACAGCTCTCCTCAGCGAGGGATCTCAGAGGCCCCAGGGAACTGGTGACGCCACGCGTCTGTCAGGCGGCCGAAGCAGCGCTGGGTGGAGTGCGGGCCCCCGCACTGCTCACCAGCGCGGTCGCCGGTGCGGAGAACGTAGGTGCAGGGACCCGTACCCCCACCGCGCTGACGCGCAGCGTACCACTCACGAAGCTGCTGAGGGGACAGGGTCTCACGACAGCTCTTCTGCTGCTGGCGCGTACCACCACCGGAGCCACTTCTCTGCGCAGAGTCGCGACCAGGTCCACTGCTGCCGCCGCCGCCTCCGCCACCTCCGCCACCTCCGCCGCCTCCACCACCTCCGCCGCCTCCGCTCCCTCCGCCACCGCTGCCGCCTCCTCCGCCTCCACTGCTGCCACCGACACCTCCACCCCCGCCACCATTCCCACCACCACCCCCACCCCCTCCACTGCCTCCACCACCACCGCCACCGCCCCCGCCAGCCCCTCCAGCGCCCTTGCCCTCCTTGCCCTTGCCGGTGCGGCGTCTCCCGTTCGGGGCAGACGCAGCGCCGACCGACTCGAAACCAACGAGGTCGGCCGCAGCACCAGAGGCAATAGAGGGCAAGAGGGGGGAGGGGGAACACCCCTCAAAGACGGGGGTGCGAGGGTCACCACGAGAGGCTCCTACAGCGACAATGCTCTTCTCTGCTGCTAGGAGGCCCTTCTCGAGGAGGTCAACGGTGAGTGTGGTGGGGCAAACTGAGAGGAAGTGGTCCTGGACTACGCGGAGAGAGTCAGGGAGCCGGGTGACTATGTAGTAGAGGGTGATGTACATGGGGGGGGGGGGGTTCTTGGCGCAGAACTCAGCAGGAAGCGCAGCGCGGTAGCGAGTGTCACTAGTGCGGAGGTGCGTGATGAGATCAGCGAGTGTGGGAAAGGCAGCAAGGTCAGGGAAGAGGTACGGTAGCATGAGGCGGCTCAGTGCAGCAGTGGCAGGGGAAGAGTAGCGTGCAACTACAGCGTCGTACAAGGTCTGAGCACTCTTGTAGTGGCTAAAGTGTGCACGCTCAGCGATCGGTAAAAGGCGCCGCACAGCAAGTCAAGCAGCAGCATCGCGCGTGGCCCACTGTGAGCGAACAGTGGCGTTAGCATCAGCAGTAGGGGCAGGAGAGGCACCAGAAGTGAGGTCAAATAGGGAGAGACCGTCTGCCCTATCGCACTGTAGGAAAAGCTGCAGATCATCTACCCAGACCTCAAAGTCAACTGCCCGACCCTCAGCGTCAAAGGTGAGAACACTAGGGGTGGCCATGACAGCAGTAGACAGGCAGTGAGTACAGTGGGGTAGGGCAGTGCAGTGGCAGAGGCGCTGCTCTTACCAGGCAAGTGAGGCGGTCCCGGGCAGGCCGACAGGCGGCGGCGCCTCGGCTGCAGTGCGGCTTGGCGGCTCGGCGGTCCGGCGGCAAAGGCGGCTCGGCAGCAAAGGCGGCTCGGCGGCTAAGCTGCTCGGTGGCTCGGTGGCTCAGCGGCTCGGCAGGTCGGCGGCTCGGCAGCGAAGGCGGCTCGGCGCGGCCGTGAAGGGCGGCGTCGTTGCGGCTAAGGAGCGGCGACGGGGCGCTGAAGGGCAGCGACGGGGCCACTGAAAGGGCGGCGACGGGGCCGCGGAAGGGCGTCGACGGGGCCGCTGAAAGGGCGGCGACGGGGCCGCGGAAGGGTGGCGACGGGGCCGCTGAAAGGGCGGCGACGGGGCCGCGGAAGGGCGGCGACGGGACCGCTGAAGGGGGGGCGGCGACGGGGCCGCTGAAAGGGCGGCGACGGGGCTGCGGAAGGGCGGCGACGGGGCCGCGGAAGGGCGGCGACGGGGCCGCTGAAAGAGCGGCGACGGGGCCGCGGAAAGGGGTGGCGACGGGGCCGCTGAAGGGCGGTGACGGGGCCGCTGAAAGGCGGCAACGGGGCCGCTGAAAGAGCGGCGACGGGGTCGCTGAAAGGCGGCGACGGGGCCGCAGCAAGGGGCGGCGACGGGGCCGCTGAAAGGGTGGCGACAGGGCCGCTGAGAGGGCGGCAACGGGGCCGATGAAAAGGGCGGCAGGTGGGGACGGGGCCGCGAGTGGCCGCTAAGGGGCCGCGAGGGGCCACGAGGGGCCGTGAGGGCGGAGCGACGGGGCCGCGAGGGCGGCGTGACAGGGCCGTGAGGATGGCGCAACGGGGCCACTAGGGGCCATGACAGAGGCCGCTAGAGGCCACTAAGGGGATCGACACGGGGCACGACTCGGGCAGGGGCCAATCGCGCTCCGGGCAGGAAAAAAAAATGATATTCGGTGGGCCCTAGGAACAGTTCCCACGAGGGAACCTACTCTATACCATGTGACAATTAAAACGAGAATGAATGCATTGAGCAGAATGAGGAGTACAAGTAGTAAACCCTAAAGTGTTGTACCCTGTATGAACTGCCCCACTACATCCTACACATACTATAGCATATATGCCTGACAGTGCTAGGGGTATAGCAGGGGGTGTGTGAAAGGGGTGTGTGACAGCTAGGGGAGGTTGAGTGGAGGCAGCCGTCTTGTCGTCCGCAGCGCCTGTAGTCCAGGGCTCTGCCGCTGGTAGCCCAGAGAGCCTGCTGCACCTGTCGCCCGTGGGTTCGTTGCTCCTGCCGCTCCTCTTAGCCGCGGAGCCTGTTACTCCTGCAGTCCTAGGCTCTGCCGCCGGTAGCCACAGTGCGTGCCGCTCCTGTTGCCCGTGTGTCTGCAGCTTCAGCCGTCGCCTCCCATCTTCTCGCCCCCATCGTCTCTCCTCCTCCTCACTTGCCCTCTGTGATGAGAAGAAACGAGAATGAAATGGACTATGAATGAACTGAGTACAAGTACTAACCCTAATTGGGCTGTACCCCTTATGAGCTACCCCACTATAGCCTACACAATAAGCACAAGCTATATGTTCTGACACACCCCCATAGGCAAAGTGGGGGAGAACAAGGGGTCACAAGACCAGTCAAGCAAAGAAAGCAAAGCAAGCTCAGGGTGGATCACAAAGTCAGCACACATTCCGAGCACAAGTTCAAGGCCACAAGGCCAGTTCACATGCAGGAGTACATATATATAAAAAGGCTAGACAAGAAAGAGCAGGTATATATATATATGTAACAGTACAAGCAAGGTCAAGAGGTGAGCAAGTGAGGCAAGACAGGCACAAGACCCAGCTGCATGCAGAAGCGCTGATGATCACAAGGCGCAAGTGCCTTGGTGAAGACATCAGCAGTGTTGGCCTCAGAGGCCACGTACGCAAGCCGCAACTGACCACGCTGCTGTAGCTCACGAGCAAGGAAGTAGCGAAGAGCAATGTGCTTTGTTCTGTGCTCCAGTCTCTGCTCTCGACACAAGGCCAGCATGGCCTTGTTGTCTACGTACAGGACCGGAGGAGAACGAGGCGACTCTCCAAGGTCGGTCAGCAGGTAGGTGAGCCAGCGAAGCTCCTGTGCAGCCATGGCCCCGGCGTAGATCTCAGCCTCACAACTGGAGCCGAGAACAGAAGACGAGCGAGTAGCCTGCCACGAAACAAAGCCGGAACCAAGGCTGAAGGTGTAACCCTGTGACGACCGCTGCGTAGCCTGGTCGTCTGCCCAAGAAGCGTCCGCGTGCCCAGTGAGGACCACTGGACTCCGCCCTCCAAGCACTAGCCCCATGCCCGACGTACTGCACAAGTAGCGCAACACCCTCTTTGCTGCAGCCATGTGCTCTGGTCGGTGTCTCCCAAGAGCAACATAGCGTGCGAGAATGCTAAGAGGGTATGCAAGGTCAGAGCTGAGGCAGAGCTGAGAGCGAGTGGCGAGTAGGCAGAGGAGTGGCCTGAGGCGAGGAGTACGTGAAGCCGAAGCGCTGAAGGACCTGCTGCACCATGTGTGACTGAGTCAGGGTAATGGTGCGGCGTGCTCTGTCCCGGGTGATCTGCAAGCCAAGGTAGCTGCGCAGTTCACCCAGGTCTGTGCACGTGTGTCTCTTCTGCAGCTCGGACTTCACGTGGGCGAGTCCAGCAGTGTCAGCTGCGGCAAAGACCAAGTCGTCGACGTACACGAGGATGTAGAACGGCGGCAGAGAGGTGTCGGTGCGCAGAAACAGCGACAGGTCGGCAGTAGAAGGAGCAAACCCAAGAGCCGCAAGCGTAGTCCTTAGTGTGTCGTGCCACTCACGTGGCGCCTGGCGGAGACCGTAGACTGGACGCCGGAGACTCCACTGGGTACCAGGAGGGAAAGACCCAGTGAAGCCAGGTGGGCGGCGCAGCCAGATCTCCTCGTGCAGGCTGCCCTGCAAGAAAGTTGTGCTGAAGTCGAGAGAGTGCAGCTCGTAGTCACTGTGAGCAGCAACGTGCAGCAGTACCCGAAGAGTGGTCATCTTCGGGGTGGGAGAGAAGGTCTGAAAGTAGGTCAACTTCCTGCCGCTGACTGAAGCCACGAGCCACGTAACGCGCCTTGAAGATAGGCGGAGAGCCTGGCGGCCGCTTCACCCTGAAGATCCACATGCCACTGACGATGTTCGCCCCAGGAGGGGGAACAGCGTCAACGTAGGTGCCTGTGGACTTCCAGGAAGCCATCTCTGCATCCATAGCTGCCTGCCACTGAGAGGAGTAGGGACCCTCTATCGCCTCCGCGTAAGAGCGCGGAGTCGGGATGTCAAGTGCATCCGGGTCTTCCTCAAGGGTAAGCAGTACGGACACGAGATGAGGTGAAGCAGCTTCCAAGCACTGGAACTCCTCCTGCCTGTCCTCAAGGACGTCCGTGCCAAGGGCACACTCACCCCCGACGGACGGAGGACAGACAGACTCAGACTCAGCGACAAGACTAGCAGCGTAGTCTAGGCGACAGCGAGCAGCAAAGTCGACGAGCTCAGCAACTAGGGCTGACGCAGCAGTGGACTCAAAGGAAGGGTCAGTGACGACAGTAGCCAGGAGACGCGTGTCAGTAGGACTGGCAGCACGAAGAGAGTCCGACTCCGGGTCGGCAAAAGCAGGAAGAGAGGACTCAGGAGGAGAAGGCAAAGGGGAACGCAGAGGAGCAGTGGACAGACGCAGAGACATCCTGTGCGTGCCAGGGACAGGAGGAGGACGCTGACGCGAACCACGATCACTAGCGTGAGCAGCACGGACAGGCGACGCAGGGCAAGACGCAGGCTCACGACGCTCAGTAAGACCTCCAGTAGGACCAGTGTAGGGAGAAGGAGCAGGCAAAGGGGAGGTAGGCTGCAACTTTAACTGTGACGGGACTGGCTGTGGACACTCTAAAGAAAGAGGAGGACCAGTAGAAGGCGGAAGACCAAGAACCTGCTGCAGGAGTGGAACGAAGTACGATCGAGGCCGCGCGGCGACGCCAGACACAGCAGGTACAGCACTAGTACCCCCAGCAGGAGCACCCGCTTCAGCTGCACCTCCAGCAGCGCCAGAATCTCTAGTAGTAACAGGAGTACCCGCAGCAGGACCGCCAGCAGTAGTCTCAGCTCCAACACCCTCAGCAGCACCAGCTCCAGTCGAACCCGCAGGCCCAGCAGCTCCAGTACTCCCAGTACGAGCACCTCCGGGACCCGCGACAGCAGCACCCTCAGTAGCCGAAGAACCTCTAGCACTAGCAGCACGCCTCCAGCGCCGGGCAAACCACTCGCGCAGCTCCCGTGGAGAGAGTGGCTCCCGCAGAGACGAAGCACCCGGAGAACCTCCAGGCGGAGCACCTCCAAGCTCAGCACCCCCAGGCTCATCACACCCAGGCACAGCACCCCCAGTCTCAGCACCCCCAGGCTCAGCACCCCCAGGCTCAGCATCCCCAGTGTCAGCACCCCCAGGCTCAGCACCCCCAGTCTCAGCTCTCCCAGGCTCAGCACCCCTAGGCTCAGCACCCCCAGTGTCAGCACCCCCAAGCTCAGCACCCTCAGCAGCACCAGAGTCACCAGTGACCTCGACAGGCTCGACTGCGTCTACCTGGGACACACCTGAAGGGGACGGACCCTGAGGGGGGAGGGGGTCTACCGGAGGGGGACCCGGTACAAGGAAGAGCGGCGGCGGGGGGAGGGACGGAGTGCGGTAGGGGAAGAGGCGGTAGTAGGTGAGAAGAAGTCGTGGGCCCTAAGCAAAGTTCCCACAGGGGAACCTGCTCGATACCATGAGAAGAAGTGAACGAGAGAATGAGTGAACTATGAACGAAGTGAGTACAAATAGGATGCCCTAGTTGGGTTGTACCCCCTATGGGATACCCCACTATAGCCTACACAAATAAGTAAGCTATAATATTCTGACACACCCCCATAGGCAAAGTGGGGGAGAACAAGG